GGCACTGCTGGGATTTGGACCCAGGATCTCCTGTTTACGAGACAGGCACTTTGACCGCTAAGCTACAGCGCCACCTCTTCCTGATTGTTCTCACATCATTTAGTAGTTTATTTTGCTTAATTGTTTAAAGGTAGAATGGAGAAACCAGCTCGAGTGCGCTAGAATTTGAAAATACACAACCAAAAAAAATCTTCCCCTTCCTTCAGACTTCCTTACAGAGCCCCTCCTCCAACACACACGAACGCGCACATGACCAATGAGGGCACGAGATAATTTTGTGCACAGATGGAAGGCTGACAGGCAGGTAGGCCATCCAGTTACTTTAGCCGGGCCGGCTCAGATGATTGGTCGTGCTTTTTACAGCGCTACGGCTTCCACAGATGATATTTTGTTATGTATTTATTGTCAAAGCATTTCATATATTCATTGCTATCGGGATGTTAAGAGCATTCCCTGGAATATAACAAAAGTGTTTCTGAAGTGAATTACATACCCCACTTTTAACTTAGCCTATTCTCTTGCTCCTCTCTCACACACGTGTTCAAGGCTGTACCATTTTGATTTAAATAGTCCCAAAGCCACAACTACCTAACATGTTGCTCCTTCGTCAAGGTAATCGGAAAGTTTATTTTTGGTCAGATTTCGGAGGGTTTGGGATTTTAGGGGCAGATAAACAACCATAGCCGGATTTAAGAGGCGGATAACACACTGAATTTGAGAGGTATTTTCTGTAACAAAGAGGCACTGCTGGGATTTGGACCCAGGATCTCCTGTTTACAATCTGCTATCTAGTAGTTGTTCTTCTTCTTCTTCTTCTCTTAAATCAAAGATGCGTTCATATCTACAATGTTAAAAAAGTCCATAGTGAATCTGTCTGCTTCTTGATTCCTGCATGTGAAATAAATGTGACTCTGTAAATATACACATATATATCACTATTATTATTATTATTATTATTATTATTATTATCACTATCATTATTATTATAAATACATACCTACTGTTATTATTTATTACATTATAGATTTTATTCGTATACTCCTGGAAATAATTACTGCACTTTATTCCTTATTCCTAAGTATGTATGCTGCGTGTATTTGTTGTCTTATGTATTTTTTTTTTTTTGATGGCACCCTTGAAAGGGAGAAGAATTTATTTATCTCATTGTATATGTATAATGACATTAAACGATTCTATTCTATTCAGTCAACTTATAACCACAACGTTTCTCCAGAAATAACTCCGTAGGTTTCATGTTTAAACGGAACCAACGTATGTGTGACTGAAAGGAGTAAAGATGACAGACTTAAAGTGAGAGTAACTAAGAGGCACTGCTGGGATTTGAACCCAGGATCTCCTGTTTACGAGACAGGCGCTTTACCACTAAGCCACAGCGCCTTATGATCTGTCCCTATTCTCCCTATTTTCTTCGCTCAATTGTTCCCTTTCATTTCTACACGTTTCTCCAGGCTGTAAACAGTGTTATTTGAAAGTCACACACCAAAAACTGTGCTAACATGTTAAGCTGTCATCTATTAAATCATGGTTAGGTATTAAGGATTATATTGTCAATGGTCCTTAGATAGATTTACATCCAAACGTAATCCAAACTCCTAATTTCAGAGGTGGATAACACACTTAAAGGTGGGGTAGGGAATTTTGGAGAAACCAGCTCGAGTGCGCTAGAATTTGAAAATACACAACCAGAAAAAATCAGCTACTTCCTTACAGAGCCCCTCCTCCAACACACACGAACGCACACATGACCAATGAGGGCACGAGATAAGTTTGTGCACAGATGGAAGGCTGACAGGCAGGTAGGCCATCCAGTTACTTTAGCCGGGCGGCAAAAATGATTGGTCGTGCTTTTTACAGTACTACGGCTTCCACAGATTAATTTTTTATGGATTTTTTGTCAAAGCACTTCAGATATTCATTGCTATCGGGATGTTAAGAGCATTCCATGGAATATAACAAAAAGTGTATCTCGAGCCGGTTTCTCAAACTTACCTACCCCACCTTTAAATCAAGAGATATCTTCTGTAACAAAGAGACACTGTTCACAAGACAGATGCTTTACCGCTAAGCTACAGCGCCTACTACAGCTCACTCAATGTTACAAAAAACAACTATAGATATGTTGATTCACTTCTGGATGTAAAATACACAGCTCTACCCATAAACCACTAATGTTGTTTAAACCGGTCAGCTGGTATCTGCTGTATTGGTTTCTTGGTGTCCCACTTATTATTTTTGCTCAATTCCTTATAGAAAATGTTGATGATGTTTTTTGAAAAACAACAAGTGACTTTAGAACTGATATTAACAAATGATCTTGTCGATTTTTATGATGATAAGGTCTCCAATTGGAGATCTAAAAATAAGAAGAACAAACATAAATAAAATCTGAATCAACGAGCTGAAACTTGTAAACTTCGATGCTTAATTTGACCTCCATATGAGTGAAGGAAGGCTCCAGTGGCGCAATCGGTCAGCGCGCGGTACTTATAAGACAGTAACCTGCAGAGTGATGCCGAGGTTGTGAGTTCAAGCCTCACCTGGAGCAGAGAAGTTTTAATTAAATTGCCTGTATGCATCTCAGATGTTGCATGGAGTCGGTGAATGAATATCAGACACAATTGAGGAAAAGGTGTTTGTCGTACCTGTGAGCAGAGAGTAGCCTCCTCGTGAAAGTAGCCGTGCATGAAGTCACAGTACTCTCTGGAAGTGATTTCACATCTGCAGCATGAAACACATTATTAGCTTATGTAGAAATACCTCGCAGAATATAGACACAATAGATATGCTGTTCTCCTGATGCGTTCAGGGACGTTGCCTCTTACCGTCCTTTGGTCCCGATGCAGCAGGGCCGGCCTGTGATGGTGCAGTCGATGTGGGGGAGGTTGGTGTGATTCCCAGAGTTGTATCGTGTACAAACCTACAGATCACAATCAGAGGAAACATATTTTAAACAAAACACCTAGACACTATACTTGTTTTAGATGTTATACGAGACAGATAGGTACATCAAAGTATTCCGAGACATCATAAACGTAGATGCCAAATGTAATTGTTAGATGTAAATGTACTCACTGGCCACTTGGTGATGTCATCAGGCCACTCATGAGGGGAAACTGAGGCCGGCTCCACACAAATCCTACAAAAGAAAGTTTAAAATAAATAAATAACATTAAACATTCCTATCTTCTGTTACAGGGACTGAGCCACAACCTTACATAAGCCATACATGCAATAAATAGATGTGTCTGTTATGTATTTACATGACTATGACCCCTGCAAAAGCCACTAAATATATAGTGACTGTTATGAAAAAGGTGTTTATTTGAAGCTACCTGGGGTCCTGATGGCAGACGGCCCCGTGTTGCCGTAGTGTGTTATTCAGATAAGGAGCACTGGGGTGCTGAGGCCACTTCACCCACACCGCCAGGGTGCTCTGCAGGAAGAGAGGGAGGGAGGGAGAGAAATCATTGTTAACATTATTCTGTATTTTGATTGTGTAGTGGTGACCAGAGGTGGGAAGTAGTGGATTACAAATACTTAGTTACTGCACTTAAGTACATTTTTCTGGTATCAGTACTTTACTCCACTACTTATTTTTCTGACGACTTTTTACTTTGACTTCTTACATTTTGAACCCAAATACCTGTACTTTCTACTTCTTACATGTTGAACACAAATACCTGTACTTTCTACTTCTTACATGTTGAACACAAATACCTGTACTTTCTACTTCTTACATGTTGAACACAAATACCTGTACTTTCTACTTCTTACATGTTGAACTCAAATACCTGTACTTTCTACTTCTTACATGTTGAACCCAAATACCTGTACTTTCTACTTCTTACATGTTGAACACAAATACCTGTACTTTCTACTTCTTACATGTTTTCCAAACAGGCTGGTTCCTTTAGTCTGAATGTGTGTTTGGTGGCGTGATCATTATTATTTAGAGTCATTGCGTGCCTATTGATTTGAACACGATCCGTGTATCCATCATTTCCTGGTCTTCTCTAAAGAAGAGGGACCAATGGAAACGTTGTCATGTTGCCGTTGTTCAGCGTGCAAACATTCATTAGCTAACAATGAAATTATTGTTCTATTAATATAAAGGGAGGTCAGGTACTCTTTAAAACAGCTGCTAGTTACGGGTACTTTTTACTGAAGTACATTTCAAAGTTCTTTACTTTGACTTGAGTA